TAAACTTCATTGCAATCATTGTAATACGATCGCTAATACTCCTAATCTTTGATCTGTATCATGATGCGTTATATCGCTCAAGCCTACAATTATATAATCAAAGTAGTTTATCCACATATTAATAATCAATTTAAACATCTCAAAACTTCCATTCGTCCGCATGAATCTGTCATTTTCGTAATCGGACAATTGGAAATTATAGATAATGAATTTTATGTTTATGCTAGAGAAATTAATTATGTTGATACTAATCTCTCCACAAAAAAAAGGGATTATGAAATAAATAATAACGAAATTACTTTACTTTCAACAAATACTACTCGATCAAAGCTTCTTTATATTCATAAAAATGTTGCTAAAAATTCTGGTGATACATCCGAGTTTCATTCCTCAACTTCGACAACTTCTGAATATTTCGAAAGTATGTATCAAGATGATCTATCAAAAGATATTGAAGATTCTGAAGAAATTTAAAGAATTTGAAGAGTTATTTGGAAATTCGCAACATTTAATTAACTGATATTGATAACGTCAAAGGTAATTGAAAAAAACCATACATATATATTTGTTTTTTTTTATGAAACTATCAAAAAAATTTTTGAAAAATCATTAATGGATTTCAAACATTTAATTGCTAGATATGTAACGTTAACTGTAGATATTACAATAATAAATGGGTACACATGTGTTTACTATATATCAATCTATTCTCTTATAAAATTTAAAATTTTTATTCTTTAAAATATTACAATTTTTCATTTTCTGTCCATTCATATATTATATACTATATATATATATATTAGATGTTATATATTAAAATGTTGTTTATGCCTAAATAATTGATTTTATAATATATATGTGATTGGGCGGTATTAATACCTCACAATATTGCGATCAATACCTCTCTTCTGTAATTTAAATTTTCATAGTAAAATATATATACAATCGATTTAGTAGAAATCATTTTAAAAAATAAGTATATGGAATCACAGTTACGTATATATTTATTAAATTTGGATGAATGGTTTCAAAATACAGCTCAAAATTTGATTTTAGTTAATCTTGCCCGAAATTACGCCGTGAGTCCGGAAACGTGACCTGAAACAGGCACGTGCTTTCGTGACCTTAGTACGTATTTCCAATCTACATAGCGGGCTTTCATAGTGATTGGCCAATTTTTGTAGATCATCTCGTGATATTATAAAAATTTTATTGGTTGATCGAAGATTAATAAAAATATCGAATCACGAATAAAAAAAAAATTAATATGATAGAAAATAATTATATCTATAATCAAGTTAATACTAGCAGAA